TACTTCGGATAAGGAGAAGCCAGATCGAACGGAAAAATGTCTGTTTTCTAAATAGGATTTAAATAATAGGAAATAGTAGGTGGAAGAATAGATTTGAGTTTGAAGAGTAGGCCTTCGTGCCAAACTCTGTCGAATGCCTGTGATACGTCGAGGAAGGCAGCTGTGCAAATAAGCTTTTTCTCAAGAGTGTACGATATTTTATCCACAAGACGATGGACTTGGTGTATTGTAGAGTGGTTATGACGAAATCCAAATTGGGTATTAGGTATATTGGCTTCAATGATAGGAAGGATGCGTTTTAGGATAATTCGTTCAAAAATTTTAGAAAATAGTGGAAGAAGACTAATGGGCCTGTATGATTCGGGAGAGTCGGGAGGTTTGCCAGGTTTGGGGATCATAATGATGATTGAGAATTTCCAAAGAACAGGGAAGTATGACAGTCTAAGTATAGAGTTGAAAATGTGTGTTAAGAGAAGTAAGGTTTTTTTGGGGAGTTGTGTAGCTACCTCAGCTGTGATTAGGTCATAGCCTGGGCTTTTGTGGCGAGGGGAGTTTTTTATCGCATATTCAACGTCGCTAGGTCGAATATGTTTAGGTGGGAGAGTCATGGGAAGAGGGTGAGAGAGAGAAAGGTTCACTTTTTCGATTTGAGAAGGAGTGAGAATATTGTTGTGGGGTTGGAAGGTAGAGTAGAGATGATGTCGAAATATGTTGGCTTTATCTAGGTCAGTGACAGCCCAAGTACCATCGGATTTTTTTAGTGGAGGAACAGATTGTTTTGTTCGAAGGATTTTCCTTGTTGTTTGCCAAAGCGAGTTGTCAGTAGACGAGAGGGAGACGAGACGTTTGGTGAAATTATCTGATCTAATAGAGGCTAAGTCTTTTAAGTTTATTTGTTAAATTGTTAAGTTTGCGTTTGTCCGAGGGATATTTGGTTCTCTGCCAAGTTGCACGCGCTCTCCGTTTGTCTGAGATTAGTATTCTTATATGTAGGGGAAGATTTATGGAGGAGTTTGTATTTGGCATTGGGGAGGAGGAGGACCAAGCAGCTTCTTGTATAGACTTGGTTAGGAGGTGTACGGCTTCATCGATATCGTTTGGAGATTTTAAGCTGATTTTGAGGTTACATTGATTATCAAGGGAAGATTTGAATTTTAGCCAGTCCATTTGGCCTAGGATGAGGCTTGGTTGTTTTGGTTTAGCAAGAGGGGCAGAGTCAATTGTTAGGAGGATGGCTGAATGGTCAGAATAGAGGTCGTTGAGATTAGTTGTTAGGCTGTGGAAACTATTGGGAATTTTAGATATAAATATGTCCAAAATGTCTGGCCTTTTTCTGGGTGAAGTGGGCCAGTATGTCGGGGATGGGGGAGAGTGTACTTTGTAGTTACGATTTTGTGTTGTGAGATGAAGTAGGTTACCACGGGGATTGTTTACGCGACAGCCCCATTGTAAGTTTTTAGCATTTAGATCACCTCCTATTATAAATTTATGACCAAGAGTAAGGAAGAAGTCGTTGAATTGGTTTAAGGTTATTGTGTGGCGTGGTGGACTATATACTGCAAATATATTTAGAGGGGTGTTGTTAAGTGTTATTTGTATGCCACTGGCTTGAATGTGGTCCGTTTGGAATTGCGGGAGAGGAAAGAATAGTAGGGAAGATTTTACTATGATGGCGGCTCCCGCGTGTGCGGTGCCATCAGGGTGGTTGGTTTTGAAGATTTGGAACCCAGGAAGGTAGAAGTGTGTTGAATTGATGAAGTGAGTTTCTGATATGAGTGCGATGTCGATTCTGTTATTTTGTAGTAAGGCTAAGAGTTCGTCTTTGTGTTTTGCTAGACCATTAGCGTTCCAATTTAGGATGAGGAGAGAGTGAGATGTTGCGTTATTATTTGACATTTTTGGTGTTAATGAGATTTGAGAGGACGGTGGTGAGGAGAGAGATAAGAGGGTTTATTATAGATTTGAACTCGTCAAGGAATTTTAGAAGTGAGGATTCATTGTTGTTTGTGGAGGTGTTAGAGTTTGTGGACTGGTGACCCTCAGTTACATTAGCATACGTACGTGACCTGGGTGTGTTTTCGGAGCCTGATTGTTGCTGTTGATACTCAGGATTGGTGTTGATGTTGAGGTTGAGATTATGAGGCGGTGGCTGCTGGGCTTTCTTGCTTGAGNCCTTGTAGTTGGCTGGGTGTGCACCTTGACAGAGGCCGCATTTTGCTGGTAGATCGGGAGATTTTGTGCACGATGATGAAAGGTGGTTTTCTCCACATTTGACACATATAGGTGGGTAAGCGCAGTATGAGCGTGTGTGTCCGTAGCTTTGACAGTTTTGGCATTGTGGTATCTGACGTTTTTTGTGGGGCTCTTCTATTTTTACTTTTGTATGCAAAATAGAAGTAATAGAGAAGATATCGGTAACGTTTTCTCCATTAGGGTCTATGTCAATAAAGAACATGGGCAGCGAAGTTTTGGTTTGGTGGTGTTTAACATTGGTGACATTTCTCACCGTGAAACCTATTTCTTCTAGAGCTGTTGTTATATCAGATTCTGGAGTTGATGGATGTAGGTTCCTTATGACTGCTCTTAGAGGTTTGTCGGATTGGAGCTGGTAAGTGTGGTACTGTGCATTGATTTCTTTCAATAAGTGAATGATTTTTCTGTAATTGTCTGGGGTATCAGTTTGGACTTTTAGATGAGTTGGTGTCGATTTACACGAGAAGGTGTTTGGACCGATAGTGTGTTTAAATTGGTTTAGCAACCCCATGTAGTTAAGTACCCCTTTAATGAAAATGGGTGGAGGCAAAATTGTTTTTGGTGTATTGTTGGTGGTATTCAGTTGCTTCTCGTTTTGATTATCAGATATGACGTCGAGGTTTTCGATAGTGGACTCGTCTACAGATAGAACGCTAAACCTGTTTGGCGTGACGAACGATTTCGCTTTCTTAATGGCGGCTGTATAGGATGGAGATTGCGGTGGAGTGGACGATGTCGATAAGTTACGTTTATTTTTATTTTTGTTTTTGTCATCATTATTTTTACTGATTATTTGGTTATTGACAATTTTAATCGGGGATACGGTTCTGGAAGTCATATCGCCAATGTTATCGGAGTCCAAAGGTCACCGCGCGCGACGGTGCCTGAGGCCGGTTTGTGTTTTACAAAGTATGTTTCGCAGTAGAGGGATGTGTTGTATTTAGATTAATTTATAAATAATTAAAATATTTGACGATGTTACTTGATTTGGAGAAGTATTTATCACGTGAGTTGATCAGC